TTTGTATGGTCCCGCAATCGAATAGCCATTACCTTACTCTTCTTCCTAGGGTTAAGAGCCAGTGAGCTCATACACATCACAAAAGATATGCTTGACAATGGCATAATTTACAGTCAAATCGATATATATCAATCCAAGACCAATAAGTACAAAGTTACATATTTCACGGAATATCTAAAAAAGCAGCTAAAACAACATCTTTCTAATGACATCAGCTTAGTGTTTAAAAGAGACAAGGATATTCTTGGATGGAGTCAAAGGAGTAAGGCTATTATTACAGAAAATAAAATGGATCATGACTTTAAACCACTTCATACAACCTGCAGTTCAACACTTCAACCTCAACTTAAGCTCTCATTCTTTTCGCATTAATTATATTACACAATTACTACGAAAAGTACCAATACAACAAGTTAAAGATTTAGTAGGCCACCAAAGCATAACGACCACAGTACGCTACAATAGATTTAAATTAAACCCAAAGGATGCCGCCAAAATAATTGACAGTGCTTTGATAAATGATGAACATTCTAATGAAGGAACTCATTTAAACTCAAGTTATTCTTGCACAATAAACGGCACGTTTTACACATAACCTGCCGCTTAATATAAAATACGCCCAAAAAGTTAAAAACGCAATACTTTAAATTGAAAAAAAAATAAGGCATTACCTGTTGATAGAAAATAGCTCTTTCTCTTTTATTGTCGCGAATATCGAATTCAATGTCATGCTTGTTTTCCATTCGTTGAAAAAGTAATCCATTTGTTGGCATACTTTAAGCCTCGCAGAGATCTATAAAATCTTGAAGAATAATGATTCTAACTCTAGCGAGCCTTCCTTTATTTACTCTATACCTTTCGATTGTAGATTCGAATAAAGCGTTATCGAATTCAATCAAACTCTAGCGAACCCTACTATCTTTTTGAAACTAGTTAGAGATGTATTGTGTACTTCCACAGGAAAATTGATAATATTAGCAAGGCTCGTTAGAGTGAAAGGCGTTAAGCGAACAGAACTTGGGCCAAAGGCAGGCGCGCTAGAGTTTCTATGTTTTTGCTTCACAAGATGGGTCGGCTTCGGCAACCAATGAGTTGCTTGATTTGAATATTCATTTTAACTTGATTGTTTAAAGCTCGTTAGAGTTAACGCTTTCTTTACTATTGCTGACAAATTTGATAAAACTGTTTATTCGTGAACGTTTTGTGCCTCTGTCAGTGTGTATAATTAAGGAATATTATCTTTTTCTATTTGTCTTGCATGTAAACATTTGTGTAAAATAGTAAACCCCATCGCTTGCAAAGCAAGCTTCTTCCAAAGCAAGCTTTGCTTGCTTGTTCTTACGAAGGACGCGAAGTGTGCGAGCGAGCAAAAAAGCTCGCGATGGCGCCTTCGGTGCGAGCGCAAGCGAAGCAAACCCGCAAAACTTCAACTCCGGCACTGCGAGGCATTACAATATGTGCCGCGCTTGCGCTCGTTTTCTTCGAGACTCGTTAGAGGTGCAAAGTCCCCTGCGGAAACCTGCGGAGACATCGCTTGCAATATTGAGCTCGCCCACCTAAAGTAAAGGGCAAGCAAAGCTTGCCTTGCTTAGGGCCGTGGTTGCTCTAACGACACCTACCTATACGGCTCAGAGGTGGGCTCGTTAGAAGGCGCGCATGTAAAAATGCCAGAGAGCTGGGCTCGTTACGTTAGAGTCGAGGCGCGAAGCGAGGAGCGAAGCGTCGGGGTTGCAAAGCAATTATGGGCGCGGGGCGAGCGCAAGCGCGGCAATGCCCCGGTTGGGCGAGCTTGCTTGTGACTCTAACGAGCGTCAGGTTCGCTAGAAATTTGCGCGCCCATGCCATAATGTCCCGTCAGCTTCATTAAAAAGCAAGCTTTGCGATCTTCCCTAAGAAAGGAGCGAAGCGCAAGCTTGCCCCGGTTGGGCGAGCTTGCGAGTTGCTAGCGATCTTTCGTTTGCTAGGCTCGTTAGAGCAAGCAAAGCGGGGTTGCGCAACCATGAAAAAAAGCAAGCAAAGCTTGCGTTGGTAAACCTCCCGGTGCGCAACACGACAACAAGTTCCTTACGGAACCTTTAGGTTCGAAAGACGCGAAAGATTTGCGCTTGTGGAACTTCAAGGGAACAAATCTGTAATATCAATGCCAATATCAGGATCAGGCCCGGGAAGTGAATTTCCTTCGGAAGCTTTTTTGCGAAGGTCAGTCAACTCACTTTTATGCAGACGCACTGTCTCGTTTGCTGCTACGACTTCGTGCTCTAATCGCCCCCTCTCTTCTTTCGCTTTATCCGTGATAATCTCTGAAGTTATAGGGAATTTCTCAAGTTGATCAGAAGCCTTCTGTTGCTCCTCTTCGGCGCTTTTGAGGATTTTTTCTTTTTCCTTTATAGCGCGTTTTTCGGGAGTTGACAAGAGATCGCTTGTAGCTGCAACACCGGCGGCCACAGCAGCAACTCCTGAAGTGATAACCACTTTTTGGACTTCAGGGCTCTCCATTGCTTTCTCTGCTACTTTGCGCATTCCTCGCTTAGGAATAATGTTATAGAAGGTCTGATTGCACTTACTTTGAACTTTATTTTCTATAGGTAGACCACTGAATCTTGTCAATTCTAGTATGACGTCAGTCCAAGTAAAGCCAGGTCGTCCCTTATAGAGGTCCAACTGGTAATCGTTTAAAATTCTCCACCTCAATCTAAAATACAAAATCATATAGAAATGTAGAGTCAGCACCGCCCAGTAGATGCCTTGTTGAGGATCGGGTGAGACGTACATTTTTGAGATGACTACATAAAAGAAAATATAAAAAAAAAGAAAACCAAAAAAGGGGTACGAAAGCAAAATTTCTTCAAACCTTAAAGCAGAAAACACAAGATACTGCGTAATTCTATTATTCACTAAATACAGGCTGGTAGAAGTCAAATATCCCTTGCGATCTAGCTCCCTTACCAATCGAGTGACTAGATAAGTGAGAAATACATAAAAAAGAAAAAAAGTCAAACTAAAATTGAAAAACCTAGTAATGTAATAAAGTATGGGCGAAATTACCAAAAAAAAGACAATCATATTTTTCTTTTTTTTAAATTTTCTTTTATGTAGTCCGTCCCAAGCAACTTTTGCTTGGGATATAAAATCCGCAAACTAAAGCAAGCAACTGAAGTTAAGAGTTGCAAAGCTTGCTTTGCAAGCTTGTTTTCGAAGATGGTTTCCGTCAGGTTCGTCAGAATGAGCAAGCAAAGCGGGGTTGCGCAACCCGTGCAAGCGTAAGCAACGTACATAACGCGCGCCATCGCTTGCTTTTTCTTCGCATGCTTGTTCTACAATAAAGTAAGATTTTTAAAATCTACAAGTTTTAAAAGATTTTGCAAAGGAAACGGGCATAAAAACTGCCCGTGGAAAAAAACATTTAGCTCCGTACTTAATGCAAGCAAACGAAAGAATATGAAGCATTGGAGCATGCATGCATATGTTCATGCATGCGGTGCATAAAAAAATGTGCTCATCAGGTCTAAGTTCAGATGCGAAGCGCTTTTGACTTTCTTGCGCTAAAAACTCAGATTGAAGAATGGCGCGAAGCCATAAGACAAAGAAATCAAATAAAGAAATTTTAGTACGGGTAAGCTTAACCTCTCACAAAGCAACTACTCCCCGCCTATCAAAGTGATGGTCTTTCACCCATAAAGAGAATTTGTCTTGAGTAGAGTTTCCCGCTTAGATGCTTTCAGCAGTTCTCTCTGACCAACGTAGCTACTCAGCGCTGCGACTGGCGTCACAACTGATACACCAGAGGTTGATTCAACCCGGTCCTCTCGTACTAGGGCCTAAATCTCTCAATTCTCATAAACCTACCAACGGTAGATAGGAACCGAACTGTCTCACGCGTTTTACTCTTATGTTTCCATAAGTAACGGACTATATCTTCATCTTTGCATACATCTCCTGTCTACAAAGAGTCGGCGTGTTATACGGTTTCTAATCAGAAACAGTATCCCCGATCTTTGCAAAACTGCTGCCCTTCCTAACCTTGTATTGCATCTTGGATACTCTTACAAGCTGGGCTTCGGTTTTGCTAGATCGGAAGTCTCTACGGGGAATAGTGTTCTAAACTCAGATGCAACTGTATCAGAGAATATGTTTTTTTGAATCATTTAATTCTCCAATTTGATCAACTAATCTACACATTTGCAGAAAGTAAATTTTGCATATTCTTCCCTCGGTATTACCATGTGTATTCAAACAGTCAAGGCTTCACCGATATAAGCCGAAACTAAATAATTGCTTACGCATCTATTAACGCAGTGTCTTGAAAAGTTCTACGTTCTAAACCCAACTCACGTCTTTTTGATTCTCTTATTTCTAAGAGCAAGGGACTTTCTCTTTTCCCAAATTGAATCAGATACTTCTATTCTAAATCTCCGTTGTTGATCACGAATTTCCCTAATTTTTTGCAAACCTTCTAAACTTCGATGCTCTTCTCGTTCCACATCATACGTAAAATCTCTTGGAATAAGAGAAAATCTATACATTTTCGAGATTGAAGAGTATTCTGTCTAAAGAAAGGTTCTACGTTTGATAGAAGTCTTTTTAAAGAATTTAAATGGATAATCGTTTTTTTGAAGTTCTTCAATCATATAAATTTATATATTTTTTTTGGGAATCTAACTTAAAGTCTCTGGGGGCGCGTCGCTTCGCGCCCTGCGGATTTACCTGCTTGGTATTCCCGCATATAGTTAAATAATAAGACTAAAATTTTTGTTCTTTTAATCACGGCAATGAGTTTACCACTTTCATCGGCGAACAACCGAACCCTTGGAACCTTCTTCAGCTCCAGGATGTGATGCATGTTAATCCTACGTTTCCGCAGGCATAGACTATATCATCATCTTGCACAGACGAAGTGCAAGAGTTTGGCGTATTATGAAATTTGTGGTTAGAAGAAGCGCTTAAGCGAAAAAGACAGGCTAAAATTTGCGAAAAGAGTATCGCTACTATTACGTTATTTTCTAATTGCAGTCCGCTTCGCTTTTTATTAAAGTAACCTCTTCGTGCCATTTTTTTTTCATCTCATACTCTAAGAAATCTAAAGAACGGGCTTTCGAAAACAGCAAACGTTCGTTTGCGCTCACATTTTGTAATTTAGTCTAAAAAAGACTTTGATATTGAAAGCCCCCACATTATTGATTAGATTTTCTTATTTCTTCAGTCGTTACACGGTTAAAAGAATTTATAAAGCATACTTGGTATCTCTGACTCAACCAGAGGTCGAATAACCTGACTAAATTTCTTTGCTTCTGAATGTTTACTTCCAATAGAAAGTTCTTTCTTTGTTTGTGAAGTTTGCTTTTTACATCAAAATTTAGTTCGAGTGTATCTTTTAACATCTCAACTTCAACTAATGTAAAGTTGTTTGTATGAAGTTTAAAAGCCTGACAATCTGTTTTCAGAGAGCCGTCATCTAGATACCAAACAGCCAATGCTAAACTAGAATGGAAAATTGATTTTCTATTTGTGGGAGCGATCTTTTTTCCTTTTTGATAAAATAGTTCTCGATAAGTAGAAAAAAGAGGCAGTGTGTAAGTATAAAAACGTGCTTTTTTATAAGTCTTCTGAGTTCGTTTATCATAAATAGTATATTTAGATATTGTACCCGAATAGGGTTCTAACATCTTATGTTTCCACTCTAGATATTCTAGTTGGGCTATATTATGATAAAAACGTGCACGACAATTTTTTCCATTGTATTCTATGTGTGTATCACCTAATAAGCTTCCAACTGCTGCGCAGCCTCTTGTTTTGTTGTTAGCATATTTCATTCTTAAAACTTCGCACGGTATTGCCATAATGTAGTTGAGTATTACACCTTAGGGTTCACCGTTATAAGCCAAATTTGCATAAGGGCTCACGCACCTTATGGACCCAATTTTATTCAAGTCGACCAGTATTGTTATCATATAAGCTCTTTATCTTATATATCTGCCCTTCACAGGGCAGCTCAGACTATGTCTTTTACTATTTTTTTCATATTAATTTCATGCAAATAAAATAGCAAACGGGCGCTCGTGGCCACCGATTGGCGGGGTAATTTCCTGCGAGGTGCGCGTTTTTATGGAAAGGTTCGAAGAACGCGACTCGATTTGAATAAAAAACCGAGTGTGCTGCGCACTTAGCCTAGAAAAATCACCGAGATATATTGCTGGCATGCTCATCTCCTAGTCGTTGAACGTTCTCATCAAATCCCATATGCATGTTATGCACACATACTTCGTGCCTTGATGAGCTTCGCTGCAAGTTATCTCTTTTGTTCAAAAAGAGACGTTCTTGACAATTAACCCGTTTTCTCCTCGACAATTGAGACCGCGCATAAGCGCGAAGTTGATTTCATCGAGGTGCCAAACGACTCCGTCGATATGAGCTCTTGGGAGTCATCAGCCTGTTCATTTTGTTATGGCTTGCCTTTCTTAAGTTGCTTCGCGTTTATGCTTCGCAACACCGTTGTGCGTTTAAGGAAGTAAGCTCTCTGAATGTCACCATTCAGTTCAGACTATGTCATCTACTCTAAACTAAACAATATCACTTTCCATTAGCACTGTAACATCTAGTTCGCGCCTTACTCTATCGACCTTTCAGCTTCACGACTTTGAGATCTTCTTGGTAATTTGTGAGCCATTTGCGGGATCACCCAAGGGGACAGTAGTGAGATAATAATATCAAAACTATGTCCAGAAATTACTATACAATACTTTCCCTTATTTAGCTTAGGCCAACACTTCAAAGCAAATTTCTCGGTTAACTCTTGGCATAGTATTTGAACTTCAGAAAGATCGAAGCCTTGTGTATGGAGTACTGTACCAAGTCGGTTTTTTGAAGCGATACTACCATCGTCCATATACCAATAAGCAAAAGCACGATCTGTTAAGTGGTCTTTCACAATACCCGGTCGTATGCTTTTTCGGTAATTACGCTCTGCGTCTAAAAATAGATTAGCAAGAGGTAGAAAAGCCCTATGAGTTATTGTTTGAAATCGCCAGCTTACAACAATCTTGCCGTTAGCATTTCGTCGCTCAATTCGTTTTGTTTCTGATAAGCACCATCTTTGAAAAATATTATACACATGAAAAGCATAATCTTTGTGCTTATCTCCCCATTCAAATTTGATACGAAATTCTTCATGATTGGATACAGACTTTTGAAGACTAACATCACCTAAACAAAGGCCTATAGCATTTTCAAACTCTATCTGACTTAAAGAAGTAAGTTTTTCTTTATACTGACGTAAAAATTTTCGACTAGAACCAATTTGATCTTTGCTTATACACATGTTGAGTAATATTATGTTTAGAGCAGTCGGGCGCTCGTGGGGAACTTATTGGCAAGAGATTCCTCATTCCCTAGTCGTTGAACGTTCTTGTTTACACCTGCTTTCTTTTGTAAAGCATCCATCTCTTTTTAACAAGCTTCGCTGCAAATTGAGACCAGACAATGCACGCTGCTTGCATGTGCGCAGCAGTGATGCATGGTCTTGTTTTTGCAATTCACCCGATTATTTTAAGTATGTTGCGAATGATAGCAACACAGGTACGCTATTTTTTTTGTTACCAAAAAATGGGACAACAGTTTCATCCCCGGCGTACCTTTGATCCGTTGAGCGAGAGCCCTTCCGCACGGGACTCCCGGATCACTATGGCCGACTTTCGTCTCTGTTCGACTTGTAGGTCTCACAGTCAGGCAGGCTTATACCATTGCATTCCAAAGCTGGTATTTTTCCAGCTTGAGCCTACCTTCGCACGCCTCCGTTACTCTTTTAGGAGGCGCCCGCCCCAGGCAAACTACCCACCATGCAGTGTCCTGCCTAAAAATGGCAGTTAGATATCCTCTGACGAAAGGGTGGTATTTCAAGGACGACAAAAGTCTCCCACCTATCCTACACATTCAATCAAGGCTATCACTGCAAAGTTATAGTAAAGGTGCACGGGGTCTT